CCCAAATCACTCCCAAACACCCTATAAATATCTTTTCTTAAGAGATTAACGATTTAAATACTCTAAATCCATGAATTAAATTTAATTAATTTATCTGTGAATATTTCTTAACTTTGGCCTTAAACCAAGTTCCTTTACCCACAACCCTGTGGAATACAAATACTTATTTATTTTTATAATTCTGCAACGAATCAAAAAACATATCAAGACATCTTTCAGAACTTTGCCATTGAAATAATGTCTATACACTGTCTTCGCTTTTGTTACAAGTCTACTGGCACACCTTTCCTTCACAACTGTGCTCCCCAGCTGCACTTCCAGAAGCTCAACAACAGCACAGTGAAGTTACCACTGGTTCACTTCCCTACTGCAATCACAGGGTGACAGTGAGCTTCATGAAAATAAATAAACTCAACACTTCTGTGTTGTCCATTGCTAGAGAAAAAAGGAGCTCAGCAGAACAGTTAAGACTGAAATAAAAGACCATTTACCTCCCTGCATCAGCCACAAAGTTTCAAAACTCTTCCTATTTTTCTCAGTGCTATAGGTAAAAGTAACGCTTGACACAAACTCTACACAGGATAAACCGATAGGAACACAAGCATAAGAAGAAAAAAAAGCTGGTATTACAGTAGTGACTCCATGAAATTGTACATGTGGACTGCATGAAATGACATATTTTGATGCCTCTGACTCCTGACCAGGCCAGAAAAAAATAAAAGTAAAAAAAAAAAAAAAAAGAAGTAAAAATCACAGTGCAACTATAACATGTATATGCAGACTTTTCAGGTATAAGTTTATTAAAAATAAATGTCAGCATTCAAATGTCAGAAGACAAAACTAAAGGTCTAGCTCTGGTCTATCAAACCCACATACCACTCAGATAATCAGAAATGCAGCGCTAGCAGCATGGCATTTAATATCAATATTATCAAAAGCAAACATGTAAGTTATTACAGCAAGGGAAGAATGAGAAAAATAAGTAAAATAAGATAAGTAAAGATGCAAGAAAAGGAGCTGGTAGTGCCTCAAATAATAATAATTTACGTATGAAACCTTTACGTGAAATAAAATGCACACACACACTTGTCTTCCCTTCATAGCTAAAACTCACAAGGTCTCTGCTGCAGACAGAGCAGCATGTGTTCATGTTTTATAAAAATAAAAGCAGCAAACCAAGAAAGATGTCATCAAAAAGATTGTCTATTCTAGACCCTTCTCTGTTTTGAAGCAAGTTCAAGAAGACCTAGAACATCCCTAATAAGATCATCTGCCTCGCTGTTAAAAAAAAAAGAATTAATAAATTAAAGTCCCACCTCCTCACATAACCTCAGAGAAAAGAAATCGCCTTTGTCAAGGCATAGATGTTCTCACATTGTGTTTTTTTCCAAGTATTTCACTTAAATTTCCCTCACATCAAATTAAGATTATGTTTTATTTGATAAAGGACAGGAACATGATTTATTAATAAATTTTCTCATAACTAAAGAGTGTATCTCAGTCTTCCGTTGGAGCAGAAGAGTGATTCAGTTTGAACAGAACCTTCCAACTACTATCATGGGCCATGTTTCCATAACCCCTAGTCCTCCTTTGATGCCTCTCCAATTTGTCTGTGGGTTTTTTAAGAAGACCCCAGCGCCCACAACCCAATGCAGTACTCTAGTAGAGGCTTTAAAAGCACCAAGCACAGCAGAGAACTTCTTTTCCACATTCTACATGCACAGTTCTGTTAATACAGCTCAAAAGGAAATCTGAAGTGTTTGAATTAGTATTACTAAATTCACTCAGTCTGCAGACCATTTTACACCTGTTAGCTTTTTTGATTCAACAGCAGCACTGCTAAGAGGCAACAGGTACAACAGGAAGATTAATTTGTTTTCCAGAAATAAATAGCAATGAAATTGCAGTAAGACCACATTTGTGATAAACAGCATGAAGTTTTGAAAATTTAGTGATATATAGCACAAGATTTTGTAATCTTCTGCATTGCATGCTTACAAACAGCTCCCCTATGTTTTTTCATTCACACATCCACCTAGGTTACCCACAAGTTGACCGATTTATAACTCCTTACCACCCCTCAGATTTTAAAGAGAATGGATTTAAATTACCCTTTAGTCAATCACCCTCATCTACAAAGCTTAAAGATTAAATTCTGCCCACTGTATAACACTTTTTTCTGATAGATATTTTCAGTGACCAGATGAAAAGCAAAACAATCTATAAGCTTGTTCGATCTGTGGAACTGCACTTCTTTTATCTCCCCATACTGATGAAAAGACCTCTTCCCCAGCCAGGGGAACAAGATCAACGGGCACTATGATGCACTCCTCATACAGTAGGACCCATGTGATGATCTGCAGGCCAAGTTCTGTCTGACAAACCCTTCAATCCAGCCCCGCATCCTTCACTTAAGGGAGACTTAACACCTGCTGAACAACAGAACAGCAGCTGAGTAGCCCATGGTGCCACCTCTAAGTGGCCAGCTATGATTTCTAAGCTCCTACAATGTTTCTTTGGACTTGTCTCCAGCCCACATACAGACATGGGTGACAGCCATTCCACTGCAGTTACAAGTTTGCAGAGGTGGGAATCAAGGGAAAGACCCATAAAAAAAACCCAGGTCCTGGTTCTTGAGACTTCTGAAGGTGGAATCTCTTGTCCTTGTAGTAAGGTTTATGTCTCCACAGCCTACTGGGAAAAGTTTAGTAAAGACTTTGGGTATATTTGTCTCCCACTCTCTTGTAGTAAAATAGCACCTTAGGAGAAAGGATTCTATTTGGGACAGTTTATCTGTATCAAAATCCATGTGAAGGCTTTTAGGCACCTGTATAATCCAGTTAACAAGACACCTGGTCAGAAATCTGAAGTTAAAAGTCCTGTAACAGAATGGGATGCTACGGAAACAGCCAAAAAAAAACCAACCCACAACCCTGAAAACCACAAAACAACCAACCCAACCCTTAAGTCTAGCTAAGGATTGAAGGGCAAATTGTGTGTGTGTATAATATAATAAAAAACAAAGACAAAACCAAACAAATAAACAAGAAACAAACAAACAAAAAACCCAAACCAACACAACAGGCAATTAGGTTGCTTCCAGCTGCTGGAATTAAGTGCAGGCTTTTTCAAAAACCTTGCAGAAGCTGCTGTACTACAGGAAGACTAAAGGTGGAGAAGGTGGGAGATGCATCAAAAAAACCCCCTTGAAATTACAGATACAAATGAGATACAGTGTCAATATAAAATCAAAAACAACATGGAAAAAGCACTTACACTAGTCCACAGGTAGGACGGGCTAACAAACCTTCACTATTGAAAGAATTGGGTGAGAGAAAAAGTGAAACTGAGTACTAAAGTAACCATAGAAAAGTACTCATACCATTGATCAGAAAAATCGTTTAAGCCATACTAATAAAGTCAGTCCAGTCTGAAAACCTAAAACAACTGCGTATCCAAGAAAAATTATCTTCAAAGAACAGTGGCAAACCGATGGATTTACTTGTAGAAGAACTACAAGACAAAGTTTTAATTCTGTGATCACAGAAGACATTAATTCAGACATGGTAATTCATGAGTTTTAAATATTTACCAAAAAGGAATTTGGATAGTGCATCTGTGAAATATAATGTACCCTTACTAACACATTCACATGTACCTAAAAAAACCTAAACAAACCAGACCAACAAAAAACCCAACCCCAAAATAAACTAACTGAAAACCCCACAGAATTAAAGTGCAAGACAGACAGATCAGTAGATCATTACTGTTTGGCAACAAACGAGTAAAGGAAGTACTTTCTACATCGGGGTTGTACAACCAGCAGTATACGAAGAACAGGAAGCGCTATCTCTCTAACGTTCCTCCATCATCATGCCCTGCTTCAAGTTTATCCATCTGACCCTGGAGTAAACCGCTGTAATACTGAAAACCTATTCCCCAAAATTTAAAGCTGCACTTGCATCAAACTGTGGAAAACATCACAGGCTTCAACTCCAGCCAGACTCATCCTTTTAGCTAAGGTTTAGCTGAAGAAAGGCAGCATGCTGACTAGATCAACAGAGTAGCTTAAAAATGAAAAGTCTTTCCCAACAGAAAACAGTATTAAAGGAACCAAAAGACAGCAAAAGGGACAGGAAAGAAAGCGAGACTGTTCTTTGAAGGTGCAAAGTAAGAGGTTATAAAAGTGCGTACTTCAAAAGGGCTACAAATACTCAGGCTGACTGTGAAACTGGTAAACCCAACATGACTCAAAATAGACAGTAATGCAATTTTTTTTCCCAATCAACGCTGAAAACTTTTCTGTGTAGTTCTGACCTACACAAAAGCAGTAAATACAGTGATTGTCCCCCTTGCTGACTACTCCATCACTGACTTAAGTAGTATTTGAAGCTACCTGTGAAGGACACATTATGCAGTTGACAGGTACGAGTCAAAAATATTTCACGGAATCACAGAATGGTTTAGGTTAGAAGGGACCTTAAAGATCACCAAGTTCCAACCCCCTACCACGGGCAGGGTCACCTCCCACTAGAGCAGGTTGCTCAAGGCCCCATCCAGCCTGGCCTTGAACACCTCCAGGGATGGGGCAGACACAGCTTCTCTGTTCCAGTGCCTCACCACCCTCAGATCCCACTACCTAATCTAAATCCATCCTTTTCCAATTTGAAACATTACTCCTCATCTTACTGTTACGTGCCCTTGTAATAAGTCCCTCTCCAGCTTTCCTGTAGCCCCCTTTCAGGCACATGAAACCCACTGTAGGGCCTCCCTGGAGCCTTCTCCAGGCTGAACGGGGCATCTTCTCCAGCACTCCGCCCTGTCCTCACCTCAGTTACCGCCTCCCTCCCTCCCCTCAGGCCCGGCAGCCGCCGCCGAGCCCGCCCAGGGGCACCGACACCTCGGGGGCAGGGCCAGCCCCGGGCCTCCACGTCCCCCAGCTCCTCCCCGCAGGGAGGGAGCCGGCCCGCCCGTCCTCCCTCCCTCCCTCCCCGACCCACCTTGAGGAGGATGGAGGGCGGCAGCTGGTTAATGTCCGGGGCCGGCGGCGGCAGCGGCTCTCGGCAGCAGTCGCCGGGCTGCTCCAGCGGCTCCTCGCCGCCCTTCTTCTCCCCCTCTTCCTCCGGCGCGGGAGGAGGCGGCGGCGGGGAGGCCGGCTGTCGCCCGCCGCCGCTATCCCCGGCGGCCTCCCGGGACGGCGCGTCCCCGCCGCCCGCCGCGCAG